AAGGTGGCAGTGGCACGCAACCGCCTTGTTTGTCTTCACAGTCTGCGCGGCACGGGAATTTGTAGATGGGATACGGCCATTCGTGCAAGGCTTCATAAGACGTTCAAATGATGAACCGGCGATCTGGTTGTGCTTGCGCCTAACCAGTTATGGTTGTGAGATCCCTCCATCGGATATTTATGATCTAAAAATGGACAAGCGCCACAACGCCACGCTCAACTTTCGCGGCCCTTGCGCTGCAAAGTCCCAAACAAGTTTTACGTAACTCGGCATAAACTGCTGAAATGGGAACATCGATTCCAGGGATTCGGGGACGGAACCTTCCTGCCTTGCAAGATTCTCCTAGAATACCGTTCTCAAAAGCAGCTCCCCGCGACTACAAGCAGGAGTTGCGCAAATACTATGGCGCCGCAGGGCAGGTGATTGGTCATGCGAAAGCGGGCGAAGTCCAACTACAGATCGGAAACAGTGGCGATCGACCGAATGTACTCAAAGATGGCGCCATGTACCGTTACGAACGGGAAATGAATCTTGCACATTTTCGGGATCTTATGCGGATCTTCAAGGTACGCTGGCTGAGCATTCACCATGTGTAAACAAAGTTCTCACGTTTGATGACAGCATAGCGCCACTTCACCGACTGCGAAGCTTACGCTCCCCGAATTCAAATCCGCCTTTTCAGTCGTACTCGGGCAGGAGTTAACTGAAGATCAAATGACGGCACTGTTTATGAAAGTGGATGCGAACATGGACGAAGCGATTGACTGGGACGAGTTCTCCACGTTTATGCTGTTGCGGGCTCAAGGGCAAACAACGATGATGGAGCAAGCTGAAATGCGCCTTCTAGAACCGGATCCACGAATCAGCCGAGGCAAAGGACGTGAAGAAGTGGTGCGAATATGGTGGGTGGACAAATGGGCTAGAATTGTGAGTTGCGCCCGCGACGGCGGCGTCGGTTTTTGGACCGAGGGAGGCAAGCTAAGTCGTTGGGGATGGTGCGGGTATGTATGGCTTTGTCAAAACGTTTTCAGACGCGTGAGAAAATTGAAACGCGATATATATTTGGCAGTAAAGATTGTGACAAGGATGCCGTTCTCACTCCGCATACAAATCCATCCTCCAAAACCCAGCGGTGGGTGCACGACTTTGTCCCGTTGCCTATGTTGAACAAGCTGGCACTGGCAACGGATGATCACATGATAACGTTTTACGGTAAATGCTCACTATTGAACGGTGACCCGTTCATTTATTTACTTTTCGTAATTTGAACAGATGCCACAACACTGGATACCACCCACACAATGCATCTTCCTTCGACTATCCCTCTGTCAATCGATTTCCATCCGTCGACGAATCCGCTAATACCAGACATTCTGCTGTATGGCACTGATACTGGTCAAGTGACGGTGCTGCCAATGCCGACACTACCGACTGCTCATACTGTTCAGCCGTTGTCTTTACCAAAGCCTCTTTTCCGCAAGAATATTCACGGCGATTGGGTGAGTCAGGTCCGATACCTCGAAGACTTACGGGCAGTGGTTAGTGTCAGCCACGACGAAAACGAGAGCATCGTCTTGTTGCCATTTCTGACGAACGGAGCTATTGGAAGATCTACTTCTGTTGGAGTTAGAAAGGGTTGCAGTTGCTTTGAGTTTTTAAGGAGCCCACTAGCTCTCGTCACAGGCGGTGCAGGTGACTGGTTGGTTTATTTGTACTGGCCTACAGCACCTGACTCATACATTCCACTTTAGATCGACAATTGCGGATTTGGGATCCTCATCACTTGCAACGCCCGTCCGCGGTCTTACCGGGGCATAACGCTCCCATCGTCAGCATGAGTGTCAACATTGTTCACGCGCAGGTCATATCATTGAGTGTTGATCAAGCAATGAAGGTAATCAATGTGAGATATTGGAATGGTCAAACTCTCTCACTGACTTCCCTTTCCTGGCAGGTGTGGGATATTCGCAAGCAACAGGTGACAAGCGTTGCCGCGCCATTCTACTTTTGTGCGACTTCCACTGACAGCTTTACATCTTGCAGTGCTTACAAAGTTTGGCCGCCCCAAGTGTGACGGTGCTCTACTCGTTGCCGTCGAAGGTGGTGGCGGCTACACCTGCCAGTATGCTGCTTCATAATTACCAGGAACCGCCTTCGAATGCGTGTAATGTCAAGTCGCATCCCGCCGCAGTCCGTGGGGCTCTGTGGAATGACTTGTTCGACGCTGTTGTCAGTGGTTGCGACGGCGGCGTCGTTCATGTATGGGTACGTCACATGGACGAGAGCAGTCATTGTACGTGCTTGGGCAAACCAAATTTATTGTATAATTAGGATGTCATGACCGGTCAGAAAACGTTTCGTTTTGAGAATGCTCATGGCAAAACGGAAATCACAGCCATGACTTTTGATGCGGGCAAGAGGCGTTTGATAACAGGTGGACGAGGTGGGAGGGGTTGAATTTTCATGCGGCTGACCGTTGCGCGTTTTAGTAATACCAATCCCCATAGATGGCACCATCCATATCTTCAATTTCAACAACGGGCAGTTACTACAAACGCTACTAAAGTACGATACGTCGGAAGTCACCGGAATCATTGTAAGTGCTGAAGCACGTTGCGTCTTGCACAAAGGCTTGATGTGACACCTTCCGTTTGAATTAGTATACGACACACAGGGCGCTCCCACATATTCTCACGACGGGCTGGAACCGTCTGCTCTCTATATTTGCGGACAATGTGGGAACAGACGCTGGCGAGGTTTTCCCTACTGCGCAATACCCGACGTACCATTCGGACGATGTTCTGTGCATAGCATGCTGGAGAGGTACTGTGGTCACCGGAAGCTGGAATGGCGAAGTAGTTTGGCGAGAGTTGTGTCCGTCTCCAACAGGAGGTGTGCTAGCTGCTGCAACGGTTGGAGGAAGTATCGACCGAGGTAAATAGCATCCTCGCGTCGTCGCTTGCACAGACGCGGAGTAGCTCATTTTCTTTTTGTCCGCTAGTGATATTCGTTCGTGCGCACAATGACACTGTCATTCTGCTTTCCTGTGGAGGCGAAGGGATACTACGGATTTGGGATGCCACTCGATACGAAGTTTCCTGGGAAGTGGACGCGGCAAAAAATGAAGGTGATGGTGTTGCAGCGATATGTACAAACTCTCCGGCCATTGACGGCGATCAAAGCGGGAGAATTCAGGTAAAAGCACCGTTGATAATGAGTGGAGACTCTAGCGGATGGATCCGCATTTGGGCTTTGGAAGCGGACACTACCTTGACCCCGATCAAAACATTTCGTGGGCACCTCCGTGGAATCTCTAGCGTGGATTATGTCAATCTCGCGGGAATAGACGGCGTTGTGTCCGGAGGAGTAGACTGCACAGTTCGATTGTTTACCGTAAGTGATGGAACCGTTCAATCGTCACGCATTCGTTTTGTATTCACGGATATACAGGTGTTTGGCGACTTTATTGGTACTTTTGGACAGCCAGATCCCTGGGATGTCACGGTAACGCATACGTATCTGAGGTCTGGGAAGAAACCCGCCGATGTAGCCATGGCCGATCGTGAATTAGAAGAACAGGTCATACAGGATGAAGCCGATGAACACTTTGGTGAGGTTTCCCGCAAGTCCATCACGGCGTCCTTGCAAGGCCGTAGCGCTCATACACCACCCAAAACCGCTGACTTGTTGCGGAATCCCTACCCGCCTACCGCATTTGCGTCGAGCTTGTACGCGCGGCAAGTGCTGCGCAAACCGTTGCACCATCATTATAACCGGCGAGCTGTGCTGCCACCGATCCACGGCGCTGGGCCCGGCGGCATCTTTCACCAGCTTGAGCCGTTTCCGTTGGCGGATGTGAACACGATTCTGCCTCCCATTGAAGTGATTAAGCGGTAGAGTAGGTTTAGACTAAACATTATATATTGACTCTAGTTGACAAATCAACTGCCGTTATCCATCTTTCACCCCGGCCTCCGCCAAAACCGATGTTGGCACTACTGACTACCTTCCTTTTGTCCCTTTTTCGGTTTCTGCACCTTGTTGGTTAAAGAGGCCTGTGGTGATAAATTTTGCATTTAGAGAGTGAATCAGGCATTGCAAAGAACGTTACAAATATGCGTACATGAATATGTGGGATGACACCACCCCCAGCGATAGTGGCCTTGATTAGCGTATCCAATTCTTCGTCACCACGGATGGCCAGCTGCAAGTGTCGCGGGGTGATACGCTTCACCTTTAAATCCTTGGATGCGTTGCCAGCAAGCTCGAGTACTTCTGCCGTCAAGTACTCTAGAATGGCGGCGCAGTAGACAGCGGCTTTGGCGCCGACGCGTACATTATTTTGTGTTCGTTGCTTGAGATACCGGTGAATACGTCCAACCGGGAACTGTAAACCTGCCTGCAAATCAAAGAGTTATGACGTGTCCGTCCCTTCATACAGGTTGTGCATGTCCACATACTCTGGCGGCACGGGTAACGGGCGCTGGCCTGCTGCTCCCGGACTTGCTCTTGGCACCACTGTCAGCCTGCGGCAGCATTGCATTAGCGCGGTAACATGAGGTCGACAACATTTGATACGTACCATTGCGATAGTCTTTTTGTTTGTGTACTGTATGTACTACCTGTGTATTTGCTCGATGCTTGTCTGGGCAACAATTTCTGACTTCTGGACGTGTGAATGAGCCAAGAGGTGCTGCTTCGCTGGTCTTACGCGTTAGTTGGCATGGCAACGTTTCTTCATCTATCCGTATTGGGTTATATTAAATGCACAGCCATGAAGACGGGCTGGTCGACGTCCACATAATGCATAGTAGGCGTTGGGTGACGGGTCGCATAGATAGACGTATACCTGTTAAAATACAAGTCTGCCATACAATTGTTGAGAGCTCGAGAGGTTTATTACGTACGGACGCCATGTGCGCTGTGCGCACATCCTCCAAAATCAATGTAAAGCGGGGTCACATACTTTCTACAAAGCGTGGCCGTATAAAAAACACATGTGCCCTAGGGCGGGTTCGAACCGCCGCTCTCCGCATGTCTAGTATAGATAGATCTTATCTATAAGTACGGCGCTTTGACCACTAAGCTACTAGGGGCGCGGTAATTGACTGACGGGCCACTGTGGGTCGTCCGTCGCTTTTTGACCACTAAGGGCCATTTTCTAAAAAAAAAACCACCCTAATTGTGGCCAGCAGGCGGGCTGTCCAAGATGAATTCATGTGCATCTGTCGTCTGAAGACTTCAGATCTAGCGAGCTAGGCGTGTCTGATATGGTCCCATCCCTCAGCAAGCTGACCTCCCAGCGGCGATGATTATCGTCTGGCGTCTGGATGACATCTGTAACCTGCAAACCTCAATGTGACTCGTTGGCAGCGACAGAAGAGGTTACGTTCTCTTGTAATGGAGGATATTGCAGAAATACAAGTAATACATTGTAAAAAGTACGTGCGATAGGTAAATCTATCTAAACCCTATCTAGAATAGGCGTCACACATCCTTAGTCAACTTCTCACAGTCTTAACATTGCCGGACCCATCTCGAAAAAGATCACCCGCGCATTCTTTCCGGCGTCGTCTTTGCGGTACGGATTAGTCTTCACTGCGTCGGGTCTGAGGAACCGGATGTTGGCGTAGACGTGCTTCGCGCCAACAGTGGCGAATTGCCGCATCCAGATCATCCAGTGATTTGCGTATAGGTGCCAGGCGTACCTTTCCAAGAAGCGCGGGAAAAGCACCCGGAAAGACGATTCCAAGAGGTCGGTCTTGGTTGAGTACCTCTCTGGGTCAGCCATGTTGAAGACGCCGCCCTCCGGAAAGTGCTCCAGCAAGAATTGGTGGAGAAGCCAGAGCCCGTCCGCTTCGTTGATAGGCAAGGTGAATGCCTGCATCTCCTCGCTCTTCGCGGTGCTCTTAAATGGGGCACGTCCGGGTGCCACGGTAACCGCAACCGGACCAGCCACGACAACTTGAGGTTGCTGTCCCGTTACTCGAGCGCGCTCGTATTGCCAGCACTCCCGCAACTCGGGAGAGCTGAGATCCATCGTCTCGGCCTTCACGATGACCGTGGTGGCGGCACGACGTTTGCCGATGGTCATCCACCGGTCCATCTCGTCCTTTAGGGCGATTCCCTCATCCACAAAGAAAATGAACCGCTTGTCCCCGGGTAACGTCGACTTTAACGACTGAGCTACCCGGAAGCGGATGAGGACCCGCTCGTTGTTTTCGGGACGCAACCACCGGAGGGTCACCGTCCCATTTCCACTAACGTGGATTTCTGTGCCGTTGAGATGCTGGTGATAGACACGATCCACCTCTAGCATCTGCAGCGCATTCAAGCGCCGCTCCCGTTGCTTCTCGCTGGAGAAGTGGTCGGCTGGAAGCCCAGCCATAAGTTGACGCACTTTGGCGTCGATCGCTTCCTGCCGAAGGGCTTCGTCTTGAAGCCAAGTGTCGTCCTGAGCATCCGCAGGCGCAAACGGCATCAGGATGTTCCTCATAACATCCACCCCTCTGACGCGTGGGGCACGGGCAAGAGCAGAGCCAAAGAACGAGGTACCTTCGGGTAATTGGCGGGCCCACTCCTTGAACTGGCGTTCTTGCGTGTCTCCCGGAGCAGCCATCATCAAAAGATCGGGAAACTGCATTTTCCAAAGGTAATCGACCTGCTCGTTGCGCTCCACAGATTCAATGGCCCCTTCCGCGTACAAGTTCCGTTCAACCCTCTGCTTTGCCGCCTCGGTAGCCCGCATCCGGGTTAACTCGGTCATGAAAATCGGGTCGCGGGTGGGAATTTGAGGCATGCGCGCCCGTTCTTGACGGACGTACTCCCTTAAGGCGTCCTTGGCTGCGTCCAATTCGCGGTAGAGAGCCTGCAGATTGGCATCAAGTGTTGCGATTGCTGCGGGATTCACTTGGGCAAAGACGTTGGCGACCAGTTCGTCATGATCGCCTGCTTGATCGGCGGCCGTGCACTCTGTAACCAGCGCATTGGCCACAAAGATGGCAACCATGAAGCTCAGGTCAAATACTCGACGCAGTTCCACGGGTTGAGAGCCGTACTTGTCGTAGCCAGGGTGATATAATGGCACGACGATGGTACTGAAGCCTGCAGCTTCATGGTTGGTGTCGGAGTCGTTCAACCACTCCGGGGGTGCATAGTGCCGCACAGTCGGCATTCCAACGTACGTCAAGTAGTCGTCCATAAAGGTGATCCCGTACTCATGGTAAAAGTTGGCAAATGCACAGGACGACACTTTGTGGCTGAATGTTACTGTCAGCAGAGGGCGAGTGATGTTGAGGTAGCTTCGGAGCTGTCTCAACCCCTCATCCACAGGTTGCAAGGAAGGCCACGGGAAAAGGTCGACGAAGGGGAACATGCCCGTCTGGGCCAGAGCAGCATCCCAGAAATTCCGGTTGAGTTCGTAAGACTCGTACCGAGCCAAAAAGTCTCTGACTATGTGGCCGGCGCGCGACTTTCCGGATAGGAAAGTGTTCAACCCAAGATAGTCTTCTTTTGTTATGTCCTTTCCGATCATAACGCTAAGGCAATGTCCATTGATCAACCTTGGCGTGCCCTGCTCCAGGAGCATCTCGAGTAAGGCTTCATTCATGGGGTGCGTAGCAGTACGTGTTTCGACTGGATGCTCAGAAGTAATTTCGTCAATCAACTTGATCCATTGATCTTGAAGGGTTGGCGCCAAGCGAGACGGCGCCGCAGTATTGTAAAAGTTTCGCCACAAACGGGTGCCCAAGCGCTGGAACAAAGCTGCATCGTTCTGCAATGGTACGTACGACGCATACACGCCTCCCGGCTGTTGATTGAGAAGTTTGTCCAGATTGAAAAAGGCGATAATAGCCCTTTCCCTGTTATCCTTGGCTAGATCAGTGGCGTAGGGGTCAATGGTGGCATTGACGAATTGAAAAGTACGGCCTGCCGCGTAAGAATCGGGAAAGTGTTGCTCGAGCATCGACGTAAAGAGAGAGAGAATGCCACTTTCACGTTTCAAATCCGCGATGAACCGCTTGAAGGGGACTTCGGGATAGGTGCATTTGCCCACGTAGCGGATGTAGCAGGTAGTTTCTTCACGACTGGCTTCGGGCATGAGAATGAAAGGAGCCAACCAGTGATGGATCTCTTCGGGGAACAATCCATCCTCTTCAATCTTGGCAACCAGCTCGTACAAGTCCGAAACCAGCAAGGGCCAGCTCCTCACGTAGTAAAGGGTTTTACCGACATCATCTTCATTGAATTGAATGTCCTCGGCGGTCGATTCTTTCAGATCAAGTGCCATGATGAGCATTTCGTCAGACACGACAGAGTGATCCTTCAAAACTTGCAGGAGGATGTCCTTATGCTCTTCGACGTTCTCGACGAGAAAGTTAATGGATCCAAGCGTCACATAAGCAGGATCCAAGTGTTGGGACCGCATGCGCTGAGTAATGGTGTTGTACACCTTGTTGGCGACGGCGTTGGGACTGGCGCGGGCGTCGTCAGAGATGAACGCTTGTTGCGAGAAACTCTCATCCTGGGCAATCAGGAAGGCTTGGCGCCGAGGATGATCAAGAGACCAGGAACGAAAATGAGCCTTTTGAACCATGTTGGATGTCTGTTCGGCTGGGGTTAGTATGCAAAGCACACTGTTGGTCCTCGATTTCGATTGCTTACCTTTATTGGTCTTCAATGGAATATAATGTTTTTCTCAATGTTTGTTTTGCTATGCCACGCGAATGGGATAAGTGCACACTCTACAACACACAAACCGCATTTGTAGGACGGCTCACCTTTTTCGTAAGTGTCTGTTTTGTTCTTCCGATAGAATACAATGTTGTTTTCAGTGTCTTCTTTTGCTACAAAGTGGAGTGAGCTCAAATGCAACACAAGGTGTTGACCGTGTTCCCAACGCAAGCTCACCTTATGATTTTATTCCAGGCGTTTGTTGAAGTTGAAAGTTTGAGTTCAATGTCCAAGTCGAATACTACTAGCTGCCCGTACTGGAGGAGAAGGGCATCGGGCACCGGGGCCCCCTCTTTATATCTGCGAGGCCCCTCATAAGTGTCTTTCCTTCCTCCCAGAAGAAACACGATTGCCCGATTCGTAATAGCGCTTTTTTAAGCTGTTTGTTTGGCCACGAAAGGAGACAACGACCGGAGATAACGGTTGTCTCCGTTCTTGTCGCAAGCAAGTTGTGAAAGCTGTCAAACTGTTCTGCAAGTTCAGAGCGCGTTGGATCGGATTTGGATTATGTAAGTATAAGAGACGCAGTCCGTTGTAATTAATAAGGTTGTCGACTTCATGTGAAGTAGTATTCGCGGCTGTTATCGAAAACACTGGGCACAACGCGTTGTGTGCTTACGAGAGCCTGCGGACGCGACTTGACAGCTGCGACAGCTCAACAAACGAACCGCAACGAGGACATCCGGCCTAGATAACCCACCCCCTCAATGAACCCAAATATTCCTGGAACATACGGGACCGGAGGGTGCGGTATTGCGGGCTGGAGAGAAGCGGCCCGCTAGCGCCCCGCCGAAGTTACACGCCGGAACGAATGCAATCTTTTTCCTCCTGGATGCAAGCAGGAGCCCATTTCCGGGTGGCCAAATTGATGTAGTCTGGTTCCTTTTGAATCGGAGGCGAAGAGGTTTGTTTGTTGGGGCATCACGCCCCGAAAAACGGACGCGGCGGACGAGGAACTTTGGGAAAGGATCCTCCGACTTTGGGAGTAGTGAGGAAGAGACGTCCTTAGGAGAAGGCAACTAGAAAGCCCTATAAGTAGGGGCCGGCTTGTTCAACTTGGAGAAGTTTGGTCACGCTTGTACGGAACAGCAGAGGAGTAGTATACCTATGGGGGGTCAGCCATATGTCTTCCAGAAATGTTTAACATTTCAGGATATGGCGGGGTCCTCATACTGACATTGGGAGGACATCTCTGCGACTGACATCAGGGTTTGAACATTATATGTTGTCAATTACATCTGCGCGTGGACAAGGCTTACAGTGACGAAACCGAGTGAGTTGGAAGCAAAAGGTATGTTCCTCTCCCCCATGGATTTTGTAACGCAGGTGTTGATGCTAATCTTGTGTATCCTTCCGGATGGTAA